ATTCTAAATACCAGAAAGGATGACACTTGAAGAAAATGGGTCAAAATGACCACAGCATAAGCTGAGGGATCCCATTCCCAATAACCCAAATGGATATTATAGTTCAAGGACTTTCTGTAATACAAATCTGTTCTGAGAACAAAGTGTGAACACACCATGCCTCCTGAGAATCTGGACCCATGACAGACTCCCAGAATTGGTGCAGTGAGTGAGTGAGACTCTGAGGGCAACTCTTCCAATCCTCCTACCCTTCTTTGTGTCAAGAGGAAGATGGGGCACCCTGCCAAGACTGTAATCAGCATGGTGAGAGCATTCCACCTCATGGCTTTTGTGAATATGCTCAAGTCACCAGGCACTCTAAGGAGGAGCTGATCAAGATTTGTAATCAACTCCTTTTGGTGATCTTTTGGATAATTTTCCATGTTTTTGCATATATCCCATTGCACACATTTGCTTAAAATTGTAGGATAAATATCTAGAAACAGAATTTTGGAATGGAATAATATTCATTTCCAATTTTGAATGGTATCATCTTTTATCGGTTATAATGCCAGGGACAATGCATGACAGAGTTCTGGTGTGTCCATATCTGTGTTAATAAGATGTATGATAAAGTGTTGGTCTTTGAGAACTATATTAAAAATGTCATTGGAATTCTTTCTTTTTCTTTTTTTGTTAAAGAGTGAGGTTGAGCATCTTTTTGAATATGTCAAAATCATTTATAAAAAATAAAAAATATCTTTGTGTTCTTTCCCTATTTTTCAATCAAGTTACTTGTTTTTTAACTATCTATAGGAAGTTTTTATTTATTAAAGAAATTGTGATATTTTGAAGCTCATTTTCATGTTATTTGGTGGAGGTTGTTGCTATTAAGCATATATTTTTATGGAAGTTCAAGTCATTTAACAAAATTATTTAAAACAAAAAATTTCATGTTTTTTCCTGTCTTCTGGATTTCATATCATATTTAGAAGGATCTTCATACTTGTAGATTATGAAATATTTCTCCAATTTCTTTCAAATTTATATAAACTTATTTTTAAAGTTACATTACTGTTTCACCCTCATTTTTAAATGTGTAGGGATTTGAGTTTAATCTTATTTGGGGGTTTTGTTTCTTTATCTTAAACTAGAACTTTTATTAAAATGTGTTTTGCATTTTATAGAATGGCTTTCTGGTATGTATAGTGTGGTACCATGTAAATCATACATTTATAGACTTGTTTCTAAGAGATCAGGAACTTAAAAGACGGTGATGTAAAACAGTAACACTGAGACCTGTTGAAAAGAAAGAACTTCTTTCTTTACAAGGATGTCAGAGGACTAAGGTCTTAAAATATCTTTTCTAAAGCTCTTCTTGCTCCAGGCTGGAGGAAAAGTGAGCTGCGGCAGTGTTTCTGGCAGTGTTTGGAGAGGTCACATGGGTCAGGTAATGTGCCCTGGGAAGACATTCCAGTGGGAAATAACAGAGCTGTAGTCTTTCTGCTTCTTATCTTTTTGACAGAGGATTCTATGAGCCCTTGTTTGTGTTTGCCTCATGGGATGGAAAAGACACAGAAAACTGCAAACGTTTTCCTGTGATGGATATCCTTAGGGTAGTCTAAGATGAGAGGAATGAGAATTACCACATTTCATTGCCAGTAATATCACATTGTGCTAAAATTTGAAAAGGAAGTTAGGGTTGCATAATATAATTATCCCTGATATGAAATTCCATAGAGGGTAAATCTAAAGTAGCAGAATGTGCTCTGAAAGTGAGTCATTGAATCTCAGCACACAAACTCAGTCATCCTTCCAGCTGGTAGTATCCAGACCTAGCATTTGCACCGAGAATCTCATAGCACAAACCAAACCAATCACCAGGATTCTTATCAATAGACTTAAATAGTTTGTTTAGCTTTATTCCTTTCAAAGGGGTGTTGATTTTGTTTCTGGATAACTATATTGGCAGTTTTCAATTCTCAAGTTTATATAGTTAGTGGGAGAGTACTGAGTAGACCACAGTTCCCCACCCCAACTACTCTTTCTTTCAACACCTCCTTTGAGCTTCAAGGTAAGGGACTTCTCTTGACACATAACTCTTCTTTTCCAACACAGACAGCTTCTCCTGCCACTGTTCAGTCAAATCTGTCTTCTTTTATGATTCTTGGCACAACCTGGCTTTAAGAGGCTTTAATCCCCTGAAGCAGAGGTTGCTTAAAAGAAATATTTCAAGGTGTTTCTTTCTTAGAAAGCACTTTTTCTAAGTAAGGAACCAAGGCATCCATGCGTGCCCTGAAGAAATCATCTCCAAATTCTTAAATTGATGTACATATTGCATTTCATTTCCCTAAATATAGACATTCATGTCATTGTCCCTTAGCTGTGACCTATCTTACATCATTTCTATACACAAGGAATCATATAGATAGACAGACTGAGACTTGCAAATAAATAGTCAGTCAAGTGATGGGATGAATTTTAGAGCTATCTCCTTGAACGTTAGAGGAAAAACATGATGGTGAGATGGTGCAATTGAATGATTATTTAATGTGTGTTTAGTTGTCATCTTCATATTCATAAAAGATATCTCAGTGCTTTGAGTTAATTCTAATATACTGCGTTCTCTTTGTTTTTTCAATCAATTAAATACATTGACAAAGAAGAGTGACAGGTACTCACAGATTTCCAATTTCTAACAACTCAAAAATACCTACTTGGCATCTTGCATTTTGAGTCTAAGGATGACAACTTCTCTTTTGAAGTTAATGAATGGCATATCTTATTTGCATATACTAAACCAAAGTTAGTATGAAAAGAAGAGATCCTTCTTAAAGTTCATGATAGTGATTGCAAAAAAAAAAAATAGGCCAGCTCCTAACTTTTCAGTTGCTTATCTCCACCTCCTCTGTTCTATTATCTCTCCCACTAGTGGCTGAAGCCATATCTGAACATGGGATCCTGCTCTCCATCCAGTAACATCTTCCTCCACCCATCTGCGAGGCCACACTGCATATAACCTTCAGAGAGACTATTCTGAGACAGTGATGCTCAGACATCAAGAGACAGACACCAGAATTACAAGGAAGACTTCTACACAGATTGCTGATTGCTCTTCCAGTTTTTCATTCAATAGACCTGGTAGGGCCTGAGCTGTGCAGTTTTTACAAGTGTCCAGGGGTTGCTAATCAAGCTGACCCTATACCAGTCATTTAGAATTGTTAGCCTAAATGTAAAACTGGCTATGTCACTGTCCTGAAAATAATTCTTTAGTACTGTTCATTCCTCATAATTTGCTCTTTGACTAGTTCTGGTGTTTTGTGTCTCCCTGTCTCCTGTTCAGGTGATGTGTTTAAAATCTGGATGTCCTGGGGTGGCTGGAACACAGACACATACAAGACATGAACTCTGCATGCACATGTCTGTGTTTGCATATAAGCATAAGATTATTCAGCTTAAACAATGTGTAGCACACAATTTACAAATAATAAATTGCAATAATCTTTATGTAAATTCTAGCATAACCAGTTGATTCCTATAATGATATTCTTACAGCTAATTCTTATCATGTTTAACTCTTATCTATAGTCTCAAACAATTTCTGTCACATATTTTTCTTTTTATTTCTTTATTTCTTTGCAAGCCATTAAAAATGTAAAAATTAATTTAGTTTACTAATATCTGGTCTGGGCAATCTACAAAATAAACAATCAAGCCTTGATTCCTGTTTGTCAGCATCTTTTGTGTAAATTCTTCCACCATGATGGATTTCAAGATATCATCAAGGACCATGGAATTGGGAAGAGATGCACTGTAGCAGCCTAGTGCTCCACTTGTATTCCACTAGATAGAATGGTTATAAAAAACCTCCAGTATATGTGACTAGGTGATAGATACTTGCACCCCCCAAAAAATAGAATTAATGAATAACTTACCCATTTAAAAATACTTTATTTAATTAAAGTTATGTAACTTAACATTTAATAATGGTTATGTTTATGAGCCAGCTCATAGCATTCCTGAAAATGTAATATTTGGTCCTCAAGTATTGAACTGACTCCCACACACCACTACTGACCTATTCTTTTAAACTCCCAAAATACTATAATGTTTGGCATTTCATGCACTGTAGCCTGGTCTGCCTTTCAGATTTTCTGCATCAGACTAACTCTATCCTTATTTCAAGACTCAGCAGTGTCCTGCCAGGAGTCTTCTGCTATTTTTTGGACTGAGCAAGCGTTATCACCTGCACTGGTTCAGTGACAAAGGCTCCTATCTGTAGTTTTCACCACTGTTCTGTGTGGCTTATTTTGGCTGTTAAACTGTAAGTTTCTCGAAATTAAGTACTGGGATCAGTCATTTCTAAATTCAGCACAGAGTCTGGTATGCAGTAGGGGCACAATTCACACTTGAACTGAACTACTAGTGAAGATGGCTAACTCTTTGTTGTTAGAGTTCTGTGCCACTTTCTTTGTATTGTAGAGTTGGTACATTTCATATCACTTCTTCTATGAGATTGCAAGAGAGAAACAGCTAATCAATATTAATAGTAAAAGGTCTACACGGAATGAAGGTAAAAGGCTAATGCTTACAATGCAGAGTTTGGATTCCTGGTGATTTTGTTTATACTTTCTATATCCTTCATTATGCCAACTAATTGATGTTTTTAAATAAAGAATGACTATGTATGAATAACATATTTGACACACATGCAGGGAGACTAAAAACACACACACACACACATACACACACACACAGAGTAAATGGAAGACCTGCTGATTTTAATGCACACAGCTGATACCTCCTGGGTGAACCCATGGTGGGCTTTTCCCCACCTCATTGCTCACACTCTTTCTTTGGATTCCTTCTCTTGTAGACTATCTGGCATAGGTGATGAGGAGATAAAGTCTCTGGGTAAGATTCCCCAGCTCCCTACATCTTTTTCTTAAAGGCTCTGTTTACTGATTTCCTTATTGTCCTTGATCCATAAGCCTGAGGGTGTTCAGGGAGGGTGGACTCACCTCATAGTCAATGTCCAAGGCATCAGCCTCGCCCTTGGTCCGGAAGTGCTGTGTGTGTTTGTCAACGGTGAAGTTCACCAACTTGCCTACTCGCTCAATGAGGACTGAGTGCCAATGCTGGTCATCCAGGAGGCTGCCCAAGGTGGCTGCGGGTGGACTGCTACTGAGCCGAGCTTTGCTGTCATCTGTGAAGTGGGAGGAAGGCAAGATGGTGTCTGAGTCAAGGGTAAGTTTAAATCCTGCCCAAGAGCAACTTTAAGTACTAGAAGGCTCTGTGAGCAAAGCCACTTCACTCTGTTCTGAAGGCAAGAAGTGATCATCTCTTTATAAGGCTTCTGAAGAAACAGGCAGGCTTTGTCCACAGATTCCAGGGCTCAATTCTAGCATGCTTTTCTGGGTAGGAAATGCAGTGTTTTCAGAACTTAAACAATTGAATAGTGAAAAGAACTACATCTAATAGTAACATGAATAAGATTGAAAAAGGAAGTTTCCACTTTTAAAGAAAAATACACATTCTTTGCATTTCAGTGTCTCTTGAGTGAGAAAACAGATTATGAGCTGCATCTTGAAGGAAGGGGAAATTCAGGCTAATACAAGAGGAGACAGTGGGCATGTGGAGTTATAGAAGTCCATGTACAAAGGAAACGTGGAGGATACAATCACTCTAGCTGCCTTTGTTCAGTGTCTTACTGCACGAACAACACTTAAACAGGAAATTCACAGCTTGTGCCTTTAGTCATGTAAGAGAAAATTACATCAACATTTAACAATAAGGAAGCTGAGGCTCTGTGAGGTTAAGTATACAAGCCATAGAGGTACATCCAGGACATAAATCAGTTCAGCATGGTTCTTTATTGCTGTGATTACTTATCACAGCACAAGTCGTATGTGTTGACGATTCAGTTTCTATGGAATTTGGAACACTCCCTTGGGAGGATTTGAGGAATTCAGGTGTTTAAGGACACCAGCCTTCCCTTCCACTTTTTCCTCCTCCAAGTTTGTGGAAATTCCTGGTAGCATCCTTCCACCAAAAGAGATTACAGCTGCCCCCCAAGCTCCAGAATTTGTCTCAATCTTAGTAAAATGAGCAATTAAATGCAACTAGTCACTAATTATGTATGATTTTCAACTTGGGGAATACATATATATTCAGCTCCCTTAGAAACTAGAAGCTGAATGTCTCTCCTCGCTCCTGTGAGATGTGCACCCTGCCCCTTCCTCCCCACATAGAGGCACAGCAGCCTGCTCCACAGTGTGACATTCGGAGGCAGGAGATGCTATTTTCCCTGTAGGCTGTTTACTCCCACCTCCAGTATGCCTCAAGTCCCTGTCTACTTCACTGAATAACACTTTCTTGTTTCATATAAGAGTGGTTGTGGGAGTGGGGACACTAAACTTATAATTAGAAACTGAGAGCTGGCTGAATTACTACCTAACTCTGTTTTGTTGGTTTAATGTTTGCTTGTTCCCCAAGTTTTGAGTTCTCAACTTTGGTTGGATTGCGTTAGTGAGTTAATAGAAATAGATATTTTAATTTTTCTCTATCCTACCCTTTCTACCCTTTAAGATAGGAAGAGAAAAAGAAATCTACTCCTTCCTTTCCTTCTTCCAAAGGACACTGTGATCTACCAGTGTTGATCACAGTGACACATAATATATATAAAGGACACACAGAGGCTAAAGGTGTACTGACCTCTGGGAAGGTCATAGTGTGAGGTTTTTAAGGAATAAAATATTTATAGAGAGATGAGAGAGAGGGAGAGAGAGAGAATATGCAAAGCAGTTACTGTAGGGAAGCATGGATAGACCATGCAGGGCAGGTTAATGTTCCTTGCAGAGCAACAGGCTGAGGAAGATTGGAAGCAGGTGCATCATTATCCAGCTGGGAGAAGCAGGTGCCTTTCAGGCTCAGGTGCCAGGAAGGGTGGAGGGATCCCAGCAGCAGGAAGGAGCTGCTGGCAAGGCTGGCTCCAGTATCAAGGACTGTATGCTTGGTTACAGAGCTTACATTTCATCTTTAAGGAATAGAATAAATGGGTGAACTAGTAAATCAGAGATTACTAGTTCAGATTAACACTGAAGAAAGATTATTTTGACGGTTGCATGAGATATTTGACGTTTGCTGCCAAATTGTCTTCTATCAAGGCCATACCTACTTAAAGTCCTGCTAGGAATTCATAAGCATTCTTTTACCACAGCTTCCCAGAAAATGTAGTCTAGCTTTAAAGTTTTGTCTGCCTGACAGATAAAAATGCATTTCTGGATAATTTTAATATGCATTTCTCTTAATATGAAGTTGAAAATTTCTTCATTTTTATTTCTCTTTTGTGGACTATCTTCTTATTTTACCTACTCTTTTTTCAATCTGTATTTAACCCATTATCTGTAATATCAATTTTAACAATATTGCTTTGTTTTTTACTTGATGTTGCTTGATGTTTTGATGTTGCTTCCCTGACTTTGTTTGTTTCTATTGTTTACTACTCAAGATATTTCCTATTGAATGTACTGTGAGGGAGAGGACTAGAGGGAAGGGGAGGTGAGTGGAGAGGGTAAAAGAGGGTGAATGTGGTCAATATACTTTATAATGTATATGAAGATAGAACATTGAAACCTGTCGAGATCATTATAAGTAGGGCGAGGGGCATGAGGGGTAATTATGGGATGAAACTAACCAAAGTATAATATAAACATGGAAATGTCACCATGAAACCCCCTGTACAACTATTATATGCTAATAAAATGTTAAAAGATTTTTTTCTGTTGAAAATTCATCATTTCTTTTTATCCATTGACTTGTGCATTTGCATTATAGTTTAAGAGGCAATCTCTATTCTGAGATCCCAGAAGCATTCTCCCAAATGTTTTTCATCTTCATTACATAATGGGATTTATTCTGATGTATGATATAAAATACAGTTCTATCTTGATCTTACATTTTTAGATGATTGCCAAATTGTTTTAGCAGATCCACTATTTTAAACTCCTTGGTGATTATTCTAAGGAAAGAGGGTGTGTAAGGTTCAGTGGTAAGTATGGGTTTGTTAGTCAATTAGATCAAGCTTCTCTTCACATACAGGGAAATATTTAAATCTTGAATATTCAAGCAGGAAGTTTTAAAGTAGGTTGTTGCCACCATCCTCTCCCTGTGTTCACTGCCACTATTACCCCACTATGTGATGTGGACCAGACCTCTGGACTGTGGTATGCCAGGAGAGCACTGGAACTCTTGTCCTTCCCTTCCTAAAGTCCAGAGTCCGCCCTTCCTCTTCCTCTCTCCATCCTGCCATGACTCAGAAAACTCTACTTTTAATCCATGTGACAATTCTTCTCTTCCTAACTTTAAGTCATTAGAGGAATAAATATACACATTCTCTTAGTGACTACTTTTTGCTCACTGTATTTAATAAAACCATAAACCCTAATTATGATGCTTATCTTTTCATGCAACATACCGCATGGAATATTGGTGAGCACATAAAACAATTTGCTGACCTTTCCTCAAAGTGGATTAGCATTGTTCCTTGTTTATCTTGTTCATTTACTTAGCTAATATTTTTACAGCTGAAGATAAAGCAAAATTGAATCTCATCCATTTTTTGGAAAAGCATATGTCAGTAAGCATTGAAGAACTTAAAAATATTATGTAGCCACAAAAATTATGTTTTAAAATACTTCTATCATTTAGAAATGTATGTAGTAATGAATGCCTTTTTGATAAAATAAAAAGTAACATCCTACAAATAAAATATTTAATAATTTATATATTTATGATTTAAAATATAGAGAAACAGAATAGGAAAGTATAAATATGGACTAGCCACAGATGTAGCAAAGACAGATCTAAACACTATGAACTAGGAAAACTCAAAAATACATTTACAATATTATGTTCTTTTATAGTGAGCATAATTATTTTCGATAAGAGGAAAATAAACTTAATCCACCCTTTCCCCTTAAAATTCTGTGGATAAATATGCCAATTCTTTCACTCTTACTAACAACTCTTATTGTCTGGTTAAGGACATCATATTGCATTGTATTCAACCAAATGAACGTTTAATTAGATTTTCTTCCTTAGTCTTACTAGTTCAAACATAGATGCCACTCTAACTTTCTTTTTCTGGGAATTTCAGATAGCCCAAGAAAAGGGAGACGAGCAGTTTTATAACATGTTATTTCAGAAAAAAAAAAAAAAAAGCCATTCCTAGAAAGGAATGCTATAGTGTTGATAAAATAGATGGTCAGTCCTGTGACGTTTCCTATGCCTGTATCCTTCAGAATCAAAGTCCCTCTCCTTTAATTTACCAATTATCAATATTGCTATTTACTTATATTTATTAATCTTCTCACATAAGGTAAACAATACAAATGTTTCATTTTTCCCCCAGACACAATTCAGCACAAAGCTCAGGCTCAAACAAACCATCTGCCTAACTTAAGGACACAAAGAATTAGGGATACACCCACCTCCATCTGACTGCAAAGTTAACATTCTCTCCACTATTCCTACTGCATTCTTACATCCCACGCAATAATGTTATACTGCTAAGTAGGAACAGAGAGTCCCAGAACAGAATTTGATGAATTGGAAAGCAGACTTGTGGCAAAGGAAAATGGTGCAATACAAAAGAGTAATCACATGACATAGAGTGAGAGGGCAAATTTAATTTCCATACCCTATCTAGTACCAGAAACATACACCCATATCCTTGTTTGATTGCATGCAAGACCTGGTTGACACTCCTGAATGAAATGAGAAGCTGACAATGTGTTTCCCGTAGACTTGACCCAAAAAACAGGGCAAATCTCTATGTATCACTAAAACAATAAAATACGTGTCTTTTTTTTCATTAGGAGATTTCTAAGTTTTAAAGATTGAAAACATCCTTCAGATTTAGGAGTTGTTCAACTCTGGTCTTTGTATTCATCTTCTGTGACTTTTCTACTTTACAAAACTAATATAATATTTTTATGTTATCTAGTTTAGAGGATGCACAGTTACTGTGTTTTAATTAATATTGCAAAGCTAAAAGGTAAGCAGAAATAATTATTTTACTAGGTTGGGAACTCCTTAAAAATTGTGACTGGTGCTGGATGCCAGAGGCTCATGCCTGCGATCCTAGCTATTTGGGAGGCTGAGACCAGGAGGTTCATGCTTCAAGGGCAGCTGGGAAGGGAAATTTTGAGAAACCCATTTCAAAGGGAAAATAGTTGGGCATGATGGTGCATGTCTAGCAAACTAAAATAGGATATCTACCTGTTTAAAACAGAAGTATCTCATTCCAGGCCAGCCTGGATGAAAAACAAGATGCTACCTTCAAAATAATCAGAGCAGAAAGGTTTGGAGATGTGACTCAAGCAGGACAGTGCTTGCCTCTCTGTACTTATAAATTAAAGGTTCACCTTTTCCTATTGACGCTGCCTGAAATGTCTGTCTTCCTCCCATCTCCATGATCAAGTCTCCAGGTAAGTCAACGTTAATCCTGGACAACTCAGCTCCATCTTAATCTCTTCATTGTCACAATTTAACATATGAATATTGACTGTCTGATATTTAATATACAGTTATTTTGTGAAAGTATGTAACATTTATCATGACTAATGTCGAGTCACTGGAGTAGGATTGGAAGATGGTTTAATCTGTGGTCTACAACTATGTGGGGCTTTGATCTTACTCAACTGATCACTGAAGGGCTTTATTATGAAATACTTTTGGTGTTTCTTAAAAAGAAATAGTGTGTAGGATTACTCTGTGACTTGAAAACATATACATGTTTATATAGATGTATATATATATTTAAAATATTAAATACAGTGTCTGAGTGTGGGTTCTCAAAAAATAGCAACTTGTAAAAACAATCTTTCAAGAGACATGATAATCATAAATATTTATTGGATCATTTATGGAGGTACCTGAATTTCAAAAGACCTAAAGTAAATGTTCACTGAACTCTTTGGGAGATATGAAAAACCTTCACTCACCTGTCTCAGTGAGTTGACCAAGCCATCTGGGACTTTGGCTTCTGAACCCTGAACTTGGCCCTCTAAGAACATTCTGCTTTCTTTTTGCTCACTTTACTACAGCTGTACAGACTGGGGAATGGCCAAACATTCTGCCTCAGTTCAAAGACGTTGAACTCTTGTAAGGAAGAGTGACCTGTGTGCTCTATTGATGTCTTGTTTAGTTCATACACTAGCTCCTTAGTCACGTAATTCATCTGCTCTTTGATTCTTCACCTGCCTATGTGGTTCTGTAGAGGGAAGATTGCCATGGGCGATCTGAATGAGATGTGCAAAAATGGGAAGGGAATCTATGTAACTCCCTTGTGGATTGTAAGAAGAAAGCTCATTCCCATTTAATAGTTCTGAAAAAAATATTAATAGTCTAAGTGCCTTAAGAAAGCAGGCAAAAGGGAACTATCGCATTAAATTTCACTATAGAACTGATTCTGCCCAAATCAGACACAGTAAAGGTAACTAGATAATATGAATTAGAAAGCCAGAAGAGTGTGACTTGAAAAGAACAGCACACTGTGTATGTCTCCAAGCAGTTCATATTTTGTCTAATGTGTTGTGTCAATTTTATCCAGTCTTTGATGCAATTTGAAAATAAATTTCACTCTTTCCTTCTTTATTAGAAAGTAAATCCTAAAAAACAACTCTCTTCTCTCTTTTTAGTATTACTAAATACTACATAGGAGGCAGAAAAGTATTCTATAAAATAGCCACTTACTTTTTCCTCACTTGGTTTTCTTTTTCTGTTTTGTTTTGTTTTCCTATAGAAGAGCTAGTCTGGTTTGCCTTTGCATCTTCAGGAGCTCTTTGTTTTCTGTATGTTGCTTCTCCTACGTTCCCTCCACACAAAGGTGGCTGAGGACCTCTCCCTCTTTCCCTGGGATAGGAAGTTGCTTAAAATCAATACACGTGTGCCTGCACTGAGACAATCCAGAATGGAAGCCAACCCACAATGGGTAGACATTCTAACCAAGTAGAAGCAGGAAGGCATTCTCTACTAAATTCCCTGACATTTGACAAATTTGAGAGTCACCCATGCATAGCCAGGACACTTAAAGAAAACAAGGTTTTCCGTTAAAAAGACGGAATTTTTCCCCATTCGCACATGGAAAAATTAAAATGTTCTTGTCTCTGTTTTCCTTCTGAATCTTAACTTTCTAAAATGTACCTAATAGATGCTCAGTTGTGAGCAACTCAGTATACAGATGTGTGTTTAAACTTTGCTGAGGTTACTTTAGAGTTTGAATTGCTAAAAGAAGTAAACAAAGAAATAAATAGATACATACTTGTCAATTAGCTCCCCCTACATAGCAATATTATCTTGTGTCAAAGAACAGTTTGCCATAAACATTTTAAAATGTGGTAATTTTCTTCTCCCATGAAGATAAAAGAAATATATCATTTAGCTTGTACTGCAGTGACTCTGATACACTAGAAGCATCAGTATGTATTTCTGTGACTTTGTGCAAAAAGCAATTCTCCATTGCCCGACATAGAAAGAGAATGGGCAGAGCCTGACTTACCCAAGTTGAGATACAGGGAGAGACTCCCTTTTTGGAGCTCAAGGGTGATGTGGTCTCCACGTTGTCCTTCCCCATGGAACAGGACCCCATCTCCTTGCATGCTCTTGAACTTCAGAGAGATAACATCTTTGAGAGTGCTCATCAACTTCTGGTTGAACCTGTATAGAAGCGAGCTCCGGCCATCAAAGTCAGCCACATCTGATTCTGGGCACAAAAAGAGGAGGGAAAGATAAATCAGCACATACCCATCCTCATACTTGCTGTTCCCACCACCATAGATGCTGTTCAAGTCTCAGGAATGTTCTTGAGACATGGAAGTTCCTCTCTAAACAAGAAGCACAGAGAATAACTCAATCTAATTAGACTCAGAGGAATTATTAATTTATAAGCAACCACCACACACCGAGTCAAAGGGAATTGATCATCAGACTCAAAGTAAAACTCTCATTAGAGATGTGCCAGCTTTGCTTGAAGGGAGAGTGAGAATACCACAAGTACCTATGTCAGAGTGTTATGTGTCAGATGACTGGTTTGTAATAATTTCTCTTGATTTATTCTTGTTAATTTGCTTCTTACAGATGGAACTATTTGATCTCTTCATCTCAGGCTAGAGATAAAAAAATATATAGTTTATTATGCCATCTGGTTGAATTGTTAGTTCTTCTCAGAGTCTTGTGTTAAGGATTCTGAAACTTCCTCTGGGCTTAGCAGAAAAGAATAGCCAGTAATGGAAGTCTTAGTATTTAAGCAGAGAGTGCAAATTGTATCTTTCCCAACCTTGCTTGTCCTGGGCAAATTATATATCATTTTCAGGATGTTTTAGGAGATTAGATAGATAGATAGATAGATAGATAGATATGGATATAGATATAAATTCACTGTTTTTTGGCTTTGATATTACCTGAGATATTAGTCATTAAATTGATATGTAAAAATTATACATAATTATGAGATGACATACAATGTTTCAATACCTGTATGATTGTGTAATATTAAATCATGGTAATCATATTTACTTCTTCAAACATTTATCATTTTGTTGAAATCCAAAACACTTTTTCTAGTTGTTTTGAAAAACATAGTATATTACCAATATCTCTAGTCAGTCTACTGTGGAATAGAACACTAGAGATTATTTCTCCTTTCTAACTATAACTTCATACCCATTGACCAACTTCTCCCCAACCCTTTCTCTTCTCTGCCATCCCCATTGTCTGCTAACCACCATTCTAATCTCAATTTCTCTGAGATCAAACATTTTAGATTCCACATATGAGTGAGATCATCCTACTTCTTTCTGTGACTGGTTTATTTCACTTGTGTAGGGTCTCCACATAGCTTACAAAAATATGTAAGCAATAATGAGAGATTTTACTTGGGAGGTGTTATTGTAAGTTATGTTCACATTCTTTTTACTATTTTTATTACAAAAATGTTTATAGTTATATTTTATTACTTTTATAATAAAAAAGTAGTTATTTAATAATAACGACTCAGATACATTATATATAATGTCATACGGGTGAAGCAGAGGTGAATAGATGAATGGACAAGGTGAGATTATTGTTATTTGAAAACCAGTATCCATGAAAATTCAATTTTTCAATATTTGTCAAACAATTAAAATTCTCAGGTTAAGTGATATAATGACATATTAAGTATTTCTTTCTGATCAAGGAACAAGAAATATCCTTTACAAATCTGAAATTCTGAACTAAAAACAATGAAATTTTCACTTTTTTTAAAAACCAAAAAAGGACACTGATGACATCAGAATGTAAAATGAAACTTTCCAGATCCAGAGAGATTTTCAAAACCTCTAAGAAGCTTCCCACCGCAGCAGTGCATCCATGCCTGGTCACTGACTGGACCTTTATCCAAACCAGTGGAGGCTTACAGGTACCCAATTGACCTCATCAAGGAATAATGAGCACCATAGCATAGATAAACTATGAAAGCCATCACTTGTTAGCTTGCACACCTTGGAACACTTTCCTAAGACTTGATTTCTTTATGTATAAAATAGGGATAAATATGTCCATTAGAAAATGATGCTGCAATAATTAATTGTGTTAATAATGTAAAATAACAACACATTCAAAATGATTCTAATTCTATCTTACTGAGTACATCATTTGCCTTAAATCAGTAACAGGCAGTAGGATGTCAGGTTAACTGGATGGCCTTGATTTCCTAACCAGTCCACTCTAGTGAGTAGTACTCCACTTTTCACTCCTAGGTGACATTCCACTCTTTAATTCAATGGTTTGCTGCCCAGAGAAGGGTGGGTGGGCTCTGTGCTTCCTACTTGGCCACGTTTCAACTTCTCACACTCTGGTTGAAATTCTTCATGTGCCTGGGTATGCACTGTGAATGCATGCTCTCTCCTGATTGCTTTTCTTCTGCCACTGCTCAAGACTCTGCAGGGGCAATTAAGTTCTTAGGAGCTTATTGCTCAACAGTGAGGAAAACAACCACACAGCATCCATCAGAGCTTGTACAGGTGAATACAGGGAGTCATGCATGCACAATGGGACTTAACCATTTCAAAGGGGGGGGGTCAAGCTCAGCAGGGTGTCACAAAGAAAAGGAGCTGCATACTCTTCTTGAGTGATGTGCATGGCAAGAGATGAACTCAGAGAAGACAAGGATATGTGGTGCCTCTCAGGACTGCAGGAGGTTTGGTTGGTCGGAGTAGGGGATAGGCAGAAAGGTCTTTGCTTCCCAGGATAGTTATTCCTTCAGGCTGAGAGACATAGCACAAAGAGTGCTTAAGCAGTAACTGAAAATTCACATTTATTCATGGAAACATCTGCTCCACTCCCATAGGCAGTTCAGTTTTGAATTTTTATTTCCCTAGTACTGGAACATCACCCCATGAGGCATAATGTACCATGTTAGAGTCACTGCCTACAAATTACATTCATTCCAACCACACATTCACACCTCCCTGTACTGGAAATCTCCTGAGAATCACAAGTTCTAAGTAGTCTGAAACTTGGAAGGCAATACCTGTTGCTTACTAGGTGTGGGTTGACCAAATATCTTGATTTTCACAAACTTCAGTTCTATCTGTACAATGGGGCTTATAGAACCTTATTCTACAAAGTCATTGTGAGAATTATGTAAGCTCATGCCTCTAAGTGAAAAGACATTCAAGATTCAAGACCTTTTCCTCTCCCCAATTCATTATTAATCCAAAGAGATTAATTAGTTGGAAAGGTTTCAATCCTAGTATGAAGATGGTATAAAGAGGGCTTTGGAGTTCAGTAGCCTGCACATCACATTGAGAAGCATATAACCAAACACTCATCACCACTGCTTGACTTCCATATTCTTAAAATCTACCCAAAAGTGCCGTCTTGGATTCACCTTTCCCATCTCCACCTGACACAGCTTCAGAAAGCATGTCTCACCTTTGTGAATGCCCTTCAGTAAACTTCCTTTGCATTGATAACTTAATTCACTCTCTAAGACCTGAGCAGGATCTGGTTCTGTCAACCTGTTCCAAGCCATCCTCTACTCCTGTCCTAACCTACACTCCAATGTACATTGTGACAGTAGTATGTGCTGTGCTTATGAATGTGTGTGGTGAGGAAAATGTGGATGGAGCCCACCATAAGTCTTATAATTTTCTAAGTGTGTGTGTGTGTGTGTGTGTGTGTGTGTGAGTATGCGTGTGTTTGCATGTGAACTCATTTAATCACATTAATTATCTTTTGAAGAAATATCATTACAATTATTTTACTAAGTGAGGAAATCATGGCACAAGGAGATGAAATATGTATTCAGTAAAATATGTGTTTAGTGAAATACGTTTTCATCCAAACTTCTAACCTGCCCCATGTGACTTAACCACATTAGTGTATTGGAACTGCTGAACTTGTTCCCACGTACAGTGCTGTGATACTCTGATACTGAGCTTCTCAGTGCAATTCCTGGCCTTATTCCTAAGAGGTTCCTGCATTAGTCTACCTCAAAGCACCCTTCATAATTCGACTTCCACTGAACTTAGATTCTTGTGGGTTTCTTTGTTTGTTTGTCCAGATCCCCAGCATGTTGGTGCTCTCCATTAGGGCAAGGGATAGATGGACATTTTTTTCTGTCTTAGTTTAGAGTCTAGAAACACCTCTGACCCTCTGTAGCCCATATGGCCCAGCAAAATGCTGCCTGACTATCTGCTGACTTTCTGCCACATCACCTTAGGTGCTGACTGCCTATCACACTCACAGTGTTACTTCCCTCATTAGGACACGCTCTCCACTCGAGTGAGGGTCCCTGCAGCATCCTTCACATTTGCTCATTGGTGTGGCAGAGAGATATGCCCCTTTGTGAGCACAACTTAGCCTTGTGGAGAATTGAAGATTTGTTCCTAATACCACTAACACTTACTTTGCCTATCCAAAAGAACTCAGACAAACATCCTGGACATTTGAAGTATTAATTAAATAGCACATGAAATGTATCAGTCATTTCACAGATGGAGAGAAGCAGAAGTTTAAGAAGGATTAAAGGTTTCCCCAACTGAAGACTTAATACCTCCTTCAGACACGAGGAAAATACTTGTTATTTCCCAGCATCACTGGATTAAGCAGATTTAAAGTGGCAACAATAAAAACCCATACCTTTTATATTACTTGTTAACAAAAAATCATGCTATTCTATTTTGTACTAATTAGATATTATTGTAACCACTCTGTCCTGATCGTCTTGTTTGAACTCCAATTTGCAGATGGGGTCTGGCTATGGGCATTAAACTTGTTATTTTTCTTATGTAAGTATGCTGATAGGTTCTCTTAAAAACACAGAAAGAAAAAGGAAAGAAAAGAAAAGAAAGTGCGTTGGAAGGCATACAAGGGTAGAGATGAGGTCATATTGGCAGATGGAGAAGAGCACGATTGCCTCAGAAGGCAGCGTTAAGGACACCAAGAAAACGACTAGCAGAAATAAGTTATATTTCATATTCTCTCTCACAGATCACCTAAGACATGTGTGGAAATTTCTTCCTCTGATTAAATAAACTGTTCCCTAGGGATAAAGACACTATTTAGCACACATTACTTCATTTAATGTTCTTAACAGTCCTGAGCAGTCCAGACTTCTTCTTTTGAAAAATGGAGAATCCACAGCTCAGAAAGATTATACACCTTGCCCAAAGGCATACACAAGGTAATGAGTTGTTTGACACTGAAGCCACATATTCT